TCTCTCCCGCCGCGTTCCAGCCGGCGGGGATGGTGTGAAGCCCCTCCCGGCTCAGGCAGCCGCTCCCCCGAGCGCACCGGAGCGTTGGGATAACGGGGGGTCTCTGCTCTGTCCCTTGCAGCAGGGCTGCTTGAGCCCCTGGGGCGGTGTCGGGTGCGGGGGTGCGTGCGCAGCATTCCCACGGGCCGGTGCAGACCCGCTTTGCTCGCCAGGTGAAGCCTCTGCCCCCAGGGAGTGGGTGGGGAAGGAGCGCTGGCTGAAGCACCAGGGTGTTGTGAGGGGTTACATTCGATTTGGAGGATCTTGCCGGTCTCTGCCCTGAAACTTCCCAACAGCGTCTTGTCAGCATAAGCATTTTAATCGTTGTTAACACGTACTGCATTTCGGAGTCACCCGATGCTGAGCAGTGGGTGTTTGCTGGGGCCGGTCAGACGTCGCTGTCGGGTTTGGTGACGCTGTTTGTCCTTCCTTCCTCCCTCCCCCTTGGTCCTACTGGTTATCCGAGGGCAACTCTTGCTGGTGGAGCTCACAGCTTGTGTTCCAGTGCTAGGAGAGGACTCTGGATAATGCTCCTGCTAAACACTCAGGCTGGAGAGCACAGCTCAGGATCTGAGCATTGGAAGCTGGAAATATCAGTATTTTATTTTGGTTTAAACAGCCTGTGTTGGCTGTGCCAGCAGAGCATGCCTGGCAGTGAAGGTGTGAGCCATGACAGGGAGCAGACAACTGCTTTTATTGATTTGGGCCCAGTTAATTGCTAGTTAATGGACTTGGTTTGGGGTTCCAGGTCCATCTGGAGGAGCAGGAGGTTGGGCAGCAGGTGCTGCACAGGTTGGGGAACAGCAGACTCGGACGGTTCCAGTGCTGAGGTGTTTGCTGGTGGTGGTGTGGGGCTGTCAGCATGTTCCCTGTGTGGGGAGCATGGGCTGGGGGGGCTGTTCCACAGGCAGGAGAAACCAGTTGGATTTACTGGACTGGACATGGAAGCTCCAGGTCACCAGCTTCGGGAGGCACTTCACTGTGTAGTAATGTTCTTGAAATCAAACATTGTGCAAATTTCCAGACCTGGTTGTTTCACAACCTCAAACTCGGGGTGTCCCCCCCAGAGGGGCAGCAGCACCCACCCCCCAGCTGTGGGGTGGGTGTTATCGTGCTGGGCAGGCACGGGGGGTCGCTGGCCTCCCTGCCCTCCGGGGCCTTATCAGGTGTTTCTGCCGTGGCTAGAGGAGCCATCCCAGAGGCCTTATCAGCAGGAGCCCACGGGCTGGGGGCTGGCATCCTCCCTCCCTCCAGTGGGGAATCCATTGACCTGCTGCCAGTCCCAGCACAGCAGTAGTAGAGGGAATCACCAATGTTTTTAGAAGCTCTTAAGTCTCCTCTGCAGGGATTGGGGCCTGTGCCTGTGGTGGGACAGTCTGGGCACGGGGGCTGCTGCTTCCTCCTCTGTCCAAGCCTTGCAGCTTCTCCAGCAGTGAAGAGTGAAGCAATTTCCTTCCATGTTTTCAAGCCTTCTGGGCTGCTGCTCGCTAGGACAGTGTGGTGTGGGGTGGAAATTCTTCACCAACCCCAGGATTTGTGAGGACAAGTGATTGTCACAAGCTCCTGAGGACCCTGCTCCAGCCCATGGGGGCTATGGAGCCCAACGTGCTGAGGGCTGGCAGTGGCTTCTGTAAGGAAGTGGGAATGACTCACTGTGGGAGTGACACCCTGAGCTGTGTGTAGCAGAATGACCCCCCCTGGGCCTCCAGCCCCCCTGGGGTGTGAGCCCCAACTGCAGCCCCCCGAGCAGGGATCAGCCCAGGCTGTGGGTCCTTCCCTGTTCCTCTCATCCAGATTTGGTCCCTGAGGAGACAAGGGAGAGCCCCACAACACCCAGCTGTGTAGGCTCAAGTCTGAGGGCTGCTCTTCAGAGAAGCTGGCAATTTTGCTTCCACTTCACCCAGAACTACATCAGATGCTACCTAATACTTTGTCTCTGCTGGGGATAAGTTAGTGCTTTCCAAACCTGTCTTAAAGCCAAGTTCCAAACAGGCTCAGCCTTGATAATTTGCCTCCCTGGTCTGGTGGAGGCAAATTTGGGTGTTTTGGGGAATCTTTGGCTCTGTAATCGTGACACATGTTCAGGATGACGGGCTGCAGGGCTCTCCACCCCATGAAGGTGCTCTGAGCAGCTTCCACCTACCACTTCCTTTTCTCAGTGTTTCTTCTCTCCTAGGACTACATTTGCCCACGGTGTGAATCTGGTTTTATTGAGGAGCTCCCTGAAGAGCCAAGGTAACCTGCTGGGCTGAGCTCGGCCTGCTCTGCTCTTTCCTTTTGTAGTTAAGGGGCAATGTTAGATTCTGAATACACCATTTTTACCGTTTCTGCCCAATATTTGGCTCACCTCTCCTCACTATGGGATGCTTAATTTGCCTGGTGTGCATTTCCAGGTAGATCAGCCATGGGAATGCTAAGTGTCACATGTCACTGGTAAAGGGCAGGGGAGGACCTGGCTGGTTTAAAACAAACAAGAAAAAGTGATGGAGAAACTTTCCCTGTGGTGGGTCTGAACAGGCTGGAGTCAGCAGGGTGGAGATAACCCTGAGAGAGGAATCTGTGGAATGGATCCCTGTGCCTCAGTCTATAATTTAGTGACTTAGTTTAGGTGAAACGTCCTGGCTGGGACTTTGGACCCTGTGCTGGGGCAGCTGAGATCTGTGCTCACGTGCTCTGCTGCTGACTCAGTGTTGGGGCTGCTCCCTGGCTGGGGCAGAGCGGGAGAAACGTCTCAAAACGTTCTGGACACGTTGCTGGACCCTGGCTGTGGGACAGGCAGACAGGTGCTCTGTGCACGGGCACACAGAGCTGCACAGGGGGTTGCTGCCTGCTGTGAGCTCCACAGGCAGGTTACTGTGCTGACAGGGTGACGTTTGGTCTGACTGCACCAACCTTAGACGCTGAAAATCAATCCTGGCTAATCCTGACATGTTGGGGCTTTGCTGTGACCTTGGGAGAGGAGTCTCATTGCTGAACCTTTTTTTTTTGGGACCATGAATATCAAAACCTAGACCTTGACACTGGGCAGGGAATGTTCCTGCTGTTCTCCAGAAGCAGAAGCCTTCTGGCATTAGGAGTTTTTCTTGTAATCGGTCTCATTTGGTCACGTGCCTCTGCAATAAAGAAGTTCCTTTGATTCAAGATTAGACTTAAGCACCTTTGGGTCATAGTGGTCATTGTACCTTAAGTCTTCTCTTCCTGGTGCTCCAGAGGGTTAGCTGATTTGTTTGAGGTGGATCATGCAGGGAATCCTTGCTTGATATCATGGTTCTGTCACTTCTCTGTAGCTTCATGAAATCAGAATGTAAAAGGGTGGGGGGAGATGGGTGATGATGTGGGAAAATGAAAGTTGCGGGGGGGGGGGGGAAGTGAAAATTGATGTGGACCGTGAGTAAATCAGCAGCTGAGGTTGGGCTGGTTCCTGTGTGGAGCTGCCCTGGGTGGAAGAGAAGGTGAGAAGATCCCTGTGGTCCCTCCAGCTCTGCCTTTGTGGGTTGCTCTGTGCTGCCACCGAGCAGCTCTGGGTCTGCTGTTCCTGTTACACTCGTGTCCCTCTGTTGGGAACATCCCACCACACCCGGTGGGACTCACCAGGGCTCTTCATCCCCCACAGGAACACAGAGAATGAGACCAGCTCCTCTACAGCAGCCAGTGACCAGAGCAGACACCCCTTTGAGGTGAGCCAGCCCTCTCTGTCCCTTCCAGCACTTCCTG